TTATACAGATAGCGCAAAATGAAGATCTAAACTAAAAGAGATCTAAAGGAAGATAACCCAATCAAAATTGTTACATTTGTTCTGTAATTTTAATAAGTAATGAAGTATCAAATAAAGAATAAGTTTTTAAAACATAATCTCTTGTCTGCTTTTGATTTAGTTTTCTGTGTGAATTCTATTTCAATTAATATCACTTATATCTTGAATCTTCTGAATAAATTTTTCTGATATAATACTATATCCTGACTTTTTTGTGTGAATTATCTGGATATATTATATTATGTAACTAAAAGATTATATTTTTTCTTTAAAAATATATAAAATTTAAAAAATTTTTATAATAAAGTTATAAAATTAATTATAAAGTAAATTATAAAAAATTTTCTGACTTTTTTTAATAAATAAATTTAATTAAAATAATTTATATTAGAAATAATCTCAGAAAATTAATTTAGTTAAGAATGAAAATTTTAGAATTTTTATTAAAAAATATAATATATAATAATTTTAATTATACAAAAATATAATAATCATATATAGTAATAATCAAAAATAATGTAATACTTAAATTTTTTATAAATTATAATTAGTAAAATATATAATTTTTCTTATACAATGATAACCAAAGTAATAATTCAGGGACTAAATTTACTAATAAAACATAGTGAAAATTGAAATTTTCTCTCTATATAAAAATTTATGATTTTAATAAGAAATAATTTTTATTTTTATATTAAAATAAAGTTTATTAATTATAGTTTAACATATATTTTTTTCAGATTTTTTAGATTTTTTCTGAAAGAGTTGCTCTAATTGTAAAGTTAGTACAAAAATTTTTATTAATTAAATTTCATTTTTAATTAGTAAAAATTTTTACACTAACTTTATAATTAAAGTAATTCTTTTAGAAAAAATCTAAAAAATCTGAAAAATATATATATTAAATTACAATTGATAAACTTTATTTTAATATAAAAATAAAAATTATTATTAAAATTATAAATTTTTATATAAAGAAAAAATTTCAATTTTCACTATATTTTATTAGTAAATTTAGCTCTTGAATCATTACTTTTAGTTATTACTATATATAAAAGTTTTTAATTTTATTAATAAATATTTTTTATTTTTATCTTAAAAAATAACTAAAGTTCTCTAGTTTTAATATATATTTTTTTCAGAATTTTTAGATTTTTTATTAATGACTTGTTCTAATTACATATAAAGTCAATTAATTTTTATTAATTAATAATTAGTAAAAATTAATTAACTTTATATGTAATTAAAACAAGTCACTAGTAAAAAATCTGAAAATTCTGAAAAAAATATATATTAAACTAGAGAACTTTAGCTATTTTTTAAGATAAAAATAAAAAATATTTATTAATAAAATTAAAAAACTTTTATATATAAGGAAAATTATATATTTTACTAATTATAATTAATAAAAAATTTAAGTATTATATTATTTTTAATTACTACTATATCTATTATAATTTTTAAAAATAGTTAAATTAATAATATTAATTTATTATAATAATCTGATTATATAACTTTAAATAGAATATAAATTATTTAATTAAATAAAAAAATAAAAAAAAATATAAAATATAGTGATGACCAAAAATAATAACTCAGAGATTAAATTTACTAATAAAATATAATGAAAATTGAAATTTTCTTTTTATATCAAAATTTATAATTTTAATAAGAAATAATTTTTATTTTTATATTAAAATAAAGTTTATTAGTTATAGTTTATATTTTTTCAGATTTTTTAGATTTCTCTAAAAAATTACTTTAATTATAAAGTTAATATAAAAATTTTTATTAATTAAATTTCATTTTTAATTAGTAAAAATTTTTATATTAACTTTATAATTAAAGTAACTCTTTCAGAAAAAATTTAAAAAATCTAAAAAATATATATATTAAATTACAATTAATAAACTTTATTTTAATATAAAAATAAAAATTATTTTTAATAAAATTATAAATTTTAATATAGAGAGAAAATTTCAATTTTCATTATATTTTATTAATAAATTTAGTTTCTAAGTTATTATTTTTAGTTACTATTAAAGATATTATCTCAATTAATTATAACTTACAATAGCTAATCAGAAAATTATAATTAATTATAATAGCTAATTAGAGAATTGTAATTAAGTTATAATACTATCTTTAGTTATTATTATATAAATAAAATTAGTTATATTTAATTTTTTATTTATTAAGTATTAATTTTACTAATTTTATTAAATAAATCTGATTTTAAAATTTTTTATATATTTAACTAATTAATTTTTAACTCTTTTAAATTTTTTTATTCATTAATATTTTCTTGTTTATTATCATTTAAATTATTATTATTATTTTTTGAATTTAAATCTTTTAAAAATAAATTAATATTTTTTATATGCTATTTTTATAATAATTTAAATAATACTTATATTTTCTTTTTAATTTATTATAATATTCTAAATAAATTTATACTTATATATTAAAATAATTATTTGATTATTTATAATTAATATTTTATAATAATAATTATAATTATTTAATAAGAAATAAAATTATATATTATATTTAATTAAAATATTTTTATATTCAATTTATTTAAAGTAAAAGAATTATATATATTAAATAATTCTTTTTTATTTTATTATTTTTATAAAGATTAAATTATATTACTAATAAAGATAATATTATAATTAATTATAATTTAGTTATAATTCTTTGATTAGCTATCATAATTAATTATAATTAAATTATAATTCTTTGATTAGCTGTTATAAGTTATAATTAATTGAGATGTCATTTTTAATTATTAATTAATATATTTTTTTTATTTTTTTATAAATTTTTTAAAAATTATAAAATAAAAAAAAATATTAATTTTAATAGTTAAAATTTCAAATTCTATAATAAATATAGATATTATTTTATATTTAAAAATATCTTATAAAACAAGAAATATTTATGAAAATTTAAAAGATAAATTTATTTTTATATATTATTAATAGTATTTTTTAATAATATTATAATCTATATTCTTTATCTAATAATTATTAAATTGAATTAAATTCTTTTTAATTACTTCTTTTATTAAATATTTTATTTTTTCTAATAGAATAGATCTGATAAAAATTATTAATAAAGCTTTATTATAATTTTTATAATATTATTATAAGTAAAAATTCATATATAAAAAATTATTTTTATCTAATAATCAAATGATTCAGATCAAAATAGCAAAATATATATATTAAAAAAAGCTGATATAATATTATCTAATAACTTTATAATAATCTAATACTTGATATTTTTTTGTAAAAAGATAAATTTATTTACAATATGCTCTTTACACAATAAATATCAACTCAAGTGAAAGATTTGTTCTTTTCAATCTATTTTTTTTAACTAAACTCTTTCATTCTTCAAACACAAAATAAAAGAGCTTTTCAAAGAATGAATAATAAATTTTGATTACTTGCTCTTTTATGTTAAGCATAATATGCAAGAGTTTGAGCAAAGAAACAAATAAAACTATTTCTTTTGATATTGAAGTTTCATTTTTTTTATGAAAATGAGTATATAACATTGACCTGGCCAGTCAGCATCAATTGGTATTACATTACCATCAAGATTACCTATTTTCCTATTAGTCTAATATAATATTTAATACATTTAGGTAATCTTGCATGGAATGTAACTATTGTTCCTTTACCTCTCAATAGCATTATCATAAAAATATATCGAAAGCCGATCGATTCTATCAAAGTTAGAGAATAACAAACTATTCCATTGAGCCATCCGCTGTGAATATGACCGGTTGAAATAATATTGATACTTATAAGTTTTTCACAAATAATAAAAGCATCAATATTATTAGAGTTATGAACAGACTTGTTATCAAATATAATTGGCACGGGATCTGATTTTCCACCGCTAGATGAACCGTGCCCGAAAGAGATGTGTTATCCGTAACATGGATGTTATGATAATCATCCAGATTGTATATTAAAAGGTGATTTTTGTTTTCATTAAAATATTTTTTTACCCTTATTAGATGTTCAGCGATTTTTTTTTGTAGTTATATACGGTTTGATGGGTAACTGAAATTCCTGCATTATTAATGTATTAATCGCATGCCAGATCCTTCAAGATATAAAGCAAGCTCCAGTTTAAAGTTATTAATATGCTTATTACGTATTCCCACCATTAAGTATAAGATCGTAATAATTTTTTTCTTATCTTCTTTTTTGTTATAGGGCGAGCGATCCTGTGGTATTAATACAGCATACATATCAGAAAAGAAATTTTTAAAGTCAGGATCAGCTTCTTCAAGCATTTTATCGAATTCATTAGGGTCAAGTATTAAATTTTCATGTCTTTTTGTATATAGCACGCTTGTCATTCTTTTAATCTGCTCACCAAGTAACAATTTAACTGGTAATGTTGGAATATTTTGTGTAGACGCAGGTGCAGGTAACTGATTTTCAACAATAGCCGTATAATGAGGACTACAAACTTGATGACCGGGTTGCAAATAAGGATACAACAGGTTTCCTTTAATGGATGCCTTTCTTATGGCCAAGTTAGTTAGACATCGAAAATCTTTAGAGCTTTTATCGCAATTATAGATAGAACAGAGGCCATGGTTAATTTTGCTTTTCGGCGAAAATTTTTGGAAATTACTATATTTGACGCGTTTATTAAACAATTTTGTAATAAAAAAAGCCATATAAAAAAAAAGGTAAAATTTTTTATAAAGTACATAAAGAAAAGATATATATCAAAAGACACAAAGTATGCATAACGCGCGGAAGCCAATTTTTAAAAATCATAAACTTATGGTACATAAGATATATTGGCGATATGAGCCAATCGGAATTTAATTTTAATTTTGAATCACCTGCTTGTGCGACAATACAACACGTCCTTCGAGCTCGCGTACAGTACTTCGTTAGAATCTGCTTTCTTCTATTATTATGGCGAACAAGGTGAGTAGGCACGTAATTATTATTTGTAGACTGGCATCAACAGCTCCTACGCTTGTATTATCCTTCACATTCCTGTGGACGATATATGACCGATGCTTGGCAGGAAATTTCTTAGACACCTCGCAGTACGTTTCGTTGCACTCCTACTGTGTAGCCACGCTAAGGAATTCTTGACCAGAATGCTGGACAACAATATTCTACGCCTACATGATCCTTCACATTTTTATGGACGACGTGTAGCCGATGCTTGGAAAGAGACTTCTTAGACACCTCGCAGGACGCTACATTCCTCCTGTGTAGCCACGCTAAGGAACTCTTGACCATAATATTGTCGTGTCGAGTTTCTTATCACTAAACTAGTTCTTTTAAGCACATAAGATCAACACTAATTATTCTGTTGTTTTTTTTTTGGAGGCTATCGCCTCCTTTTTTAAGGAAAAAATATATTCAGAATGGTCGATTTCCGCCTGTCTCGATTTTGTTTCAAGTAATAATGATGTAAATGCTGATGACATTGAACCAATTCTTAAGCACATGAAGAAGAAACTCCAATCAATCAGTGATGATCGAAACAATTTATCTCGCGCACGTCAAAAAGCTCTTTCCATTTACTCCTCTTTTGACAAGACGATCAAAAGGCCCGAGATTCAGAATGTGCTTCAAACGATGATAAAGAAGGTAATTAGTGATTTTCATGAAGTTATGACTTATTGACAAGAGTACATACAATTGAGATATTTTTTTTAGACTGAGGTTGAGTCAAGAAAACGATTATATAAAGAAACGATGAAAATTGAAATCATAAACGATAAGATGGCAATTGCCCCAGATACAAGACTGACAGAAGAACTAGTAAGTTTCTTGCAATCAATGAAGAACGGTTCTTTCTTTTAGGATCAACCGAAAAAACGGAATAACTGTATTGTTTATGAATTTTCAAGAAGAGAAATCGAACAGAGGTCGAAACGGTAGGTATAAGTAACAATAAGTTAAAGTCATTTTGATGCTCCTAGTTGTAAATTTTTTTAAAAAAATTATTCCCTACAGGATGAGGACGACTCAGAAAGTGATGAGACTGATTATGATGACGAACTCAGTGACTGTGAAAAATCCCCCGTAGTAATGGCTGTTGAACGTCGGGAAAGTCGGCCACTATCTGCCCTCGAAACGAAATTTAGTATGTTTTGTATATTGTATATTCTGAATATTGTGTATATTTATAAACTTCGAAGTAAAAAACAAGATATCTATCATCACTATTATGTATTCTTAACATACTTGATCTCCATTGTTTTAAAGCATATAATACCCTCCCTTGTAGTCATAAAAAAAATTGATACAAGAGAACAAATTCTAGCTGCGGCCAAAGATAGTCTTGCCACTGATGAAATTAAGCATTTCAAGAAATTCATCCCAGTTTTCAAGGAGTTTAAGGAAAAACAAAAATCAAATGTCTATTCGTAAGTATTTACTTGATTTTTTTTAACAAGGAATGTAATATATGAAAGCTTTGTAAGGTGCCATTGTTTCTCGTTATACAGCTGTTCCAATGATGATGTTATGGATATAAGGGGAAATGGTGAATTCGCAAATTATTTAAGTTTTGAACAATATGCAGAACTCTTATCAATTAAGCCTAAGAGAGATGCAAATATACCCATATCTTGGAGGACAATTATAGAAGATTATTTTACGGTACAGCATTTGTAAAGTGACTGTTTGTAATAACAACATTATTAATATAAATTATGTTTGTATCTTACAGGACTCAATAAATGATAAGAAAAAATCAATTGATGATTGGGTTTGCGTAACAAACAATCTCATTGTAATAAATGAGAAAGATACTGATGAGACGGCCCAAATTAAAAAATATTTATATAAAGTGATGTCACCTTTGTAAGTATTGGGCATTTGAAAGATGATTGCCTTATTAATACTATTCGTTACTTGAAATGATTAATGAGTTTTTTTATAGGATTGAATCATTTTGCAAACCTATTCCAGCAATAAATGCGCACAACACCAGTGAACATCATTACTGGTCGGAATTTGGTCATCGCTTTTTTTCTAGAGCATTAGATGATTTTGTTGGGCTTGATTGGCGTGTGTAAGTACTGGTTTAATAAAAGTAAACTCTATTACTTACGTGCATTTAATAAGATTCATTCTTTTTCTCCTTTAGCATGGAGGCTCCTGTGCATGCATCAAAATACAGAAAAAATCACGGTCTGGATCATATAACTCAAAGCGTAGTTGACGGAAAGTTGGCCGATATATTAGCATGGACTGAAAGTGGAGAGGAGATATTCGTGGGTGAACAATCGGGGCCTCCAACAAAATTGGATTTAACAAAATTTGCGTCAGATTCCTTTAAACTATACAGAGAGCTGAGAGACTGCTTAAATGTAAGGATTTTACACGCAATGGAGATTGGTGATACTAGCTATAGTAATCGTGTTGTATTTGGTGTGTTGGGGCAATTATTTGAGGTAAAGATGTTACTTATGTGGAAGGATGGGGTATACATATATGAGGAGTTCGGATCCTTAACTATCGCATCTCATTACAATAACATATATACTATGAAGACAGGAATGTTAAGACTATTAGAATTTATTGTGAGTTTTGTTTATCTTTCCTATATCCTCGATTGAAAAATTGATTGATACATTCTCAATTTTCTTAATTATTATGTTGCAGTTGGCTATAAAGAATGAAGTTACCAAAAAAGTCGAAACCAGTGAATATGATAATGACAAAATACAATTGTTAAAAAGAAAATTTAGCGAAATTTTACCAACTCGTCCTTCACCAATCAAAAAATTAAAACTTAAGAAGGACCAACATTAATTTGGTTATTATTTCATTTAACATTGATAAAGGATTTTCAATGCAAAAAGATCAATTGATTCTTGTTTAATATTAATAAAAAATTTTTAATGCAAAAAGATCAATTGGTTATTATTTAATATTAATGAAGGATTTTTGATGCAAAAAGATCAATTAGTTATTATTTAATATTGATGAAAAATTTTTGATGCAAAATATTGATGAATGATTTTTAATGCAAAAGATTAATTGATTTTTGTTTAATATTGATGAATGATTTTTGATACAAAAAAATTAATTGGTTCTTGTTTAATATTAATAAATAATTTTTGATATAAAAAGATTAATTATTATTATTTAATATTGATGAAGAATTTACTAATACAAAAAAGATCAATTAATTCTTATTTAATATTTATGAGAATTTACCAATGTAAAAAGATTAATTATTATTTAATATTAATAAAAAATTTATTGGTGTAAAAAAATTAATTAGTTCTTATTTAATATTGATAAAAAATTTTTAATATAAAAAGATTAATTAATTCTTATTTAATATTAATAAAAGATTTTTAATATAAAGAAATTAATTAATTTATATTTTTTATTATTAAATATTTTAAAATAATTATATTTAATTATTTTATTTAATAATTTACTAAAAATTATAATATATATTAATAATTACAAATATTTTTATAATTATTTATAAAAAAATTAAAAAATAAAAAAATATTTAAGTTTTATTTTTTTATTAATATTTCATTCAAGTCTTATTTTTTTTATATTATAAAATATATAAATTTATAATAGATAACTCTTTTATTAGCTTAATATATTATAAGATAGTGATAGATATAATTATTTTACTAACTATATATTAAGTATTATATATAAAAATAAATAATAATATTACATATAATCTATAGTTATTTTTATGATAAATATTATAAATTATTATTATTATATGTAATATTAAAAAAAGTAAAAAATTCTAAAAAATATTAATTTATTTATTAAAATTAATTTTATTAATTTGAATTCAAATAATAATGAAATTATATATTATAATTACTTTCTACTAGATAACTAAAATAAATAATACTAAAAAATTAATATTAATCTTAAAAAAATAAAAGAAAATTATTTTTTATATAAAAAAATATGATAAAAGATTTAAATATTAAAAAAAATAACTAATATAAAAAATTATTAATTATTTTTTAAGTAATATTTAATAAGAATATTTTTAATTAAAATTAGATAATTAAATAAATATATAAATAATAAAAAAAATATAAAAAAATAATAAAAAAATAATATAATAAAATATAAAATATAATAATAAATAATAAAAATTTTATATAAAGTTAATTATTTATATATAATTAAAAAAATTTTCAAAAAAGTTTTGATCTTTAAAATATTTATTAAATATTATAATTTTATAAATAATATAAAATGATATATTTAATTATATACTTTTATATTATTTCTTAAAAATTAATTTTTTTAATAAAATATTATTTAATAAATAAATTTTTCAGAAAAAAATTTTATTAAAAAATATTAATAAATAAAATTAATTATAATATATAATATTAATATTATAATAAAAGTAAATAATAATTTAAAAAGTTTTTTATAATATTTTTAATATAATTAAAAATATTATATTTTTTATTAATAAAGAATATTAAAATAATTATAATAATTATAAATAAAATTTTATTAATATTAATTATTTTTAAAGTAAAATTAAAAGCTTTAATATAATAAAAAATATATTTTATTTTAAATTATTATTTTATTTAATATTTTATTTAATAATTTTATAATTATTTTATTTAAATAATTTAATAATTATTTTGATTTAATCTTAAATTATAAGAATTTATTAGTAATTATTTTATTTTTTTAAGATATTTAACTAATTAAAATAAAAATAAATTTTTTAATTAATAAAATAAAAATAAATTTTAATTAAAATAAAAATTAATTTTTATTATAATCTCTAAAAAAAGTAATAATAATGAATATTTTTACTTATATTTTAATAATAATATATTCAAAACTTATAAAAATTTGTAAATATATTTTTTAGAATATTATAAATAAAATTTTCTAATAGTATAAGATATGTTAACTTAATAATATTTTATAAAACATAATAGATTAAATATTTATATAAATAATTTTGAAAAAAAATTATTTAAAAATATTTTTAATAAGTAATTTTGAAAATATTTTTATAAAAATATATTTTAAGATATATAAAATATATTTATAAGTTTAAAAAATTTTTTATTACATATTTATTTAATAAATATCAGTTAAAAAAAGGCTTTATTTTGATTAATTTTATAATAAATTATAGTAAAAATTTATTTTTATTATATTTTACTATAATTTTTTATAAAATTTATTAAAATAAAATCTTCTTTTTTTAACTGATATTTATTAAATAAATATATAATAAACTTTTTTTTAAATTTATAAATATATTTTTTATATTTTAAAATATATTTTTATAAAAATATTTTTAAAAATATTTATTAAAAATATTTTAAATAACTTTTTTTATGTAAATACCTAATTCATCATATTTAATACTGTTACCATTTTAAGATTATACGTATATAATTATTTTAAAATGATAATAGTAACTGTGTTCATGGCAATTATTAACTTCAAGAAATTATGTGACTGATTATCTTTTTAATAAGGTGAGGTATATGAGATTTACTTCTGATGAAAATATGATTATCTTCTCAATAAGATAATTTATACATGTTTTACTTGTAATAAAAATACAATTATCTTCTCAATAAGATAATATACGTGAATTTACTTCTAACTAAATGCTCTCTCAATAGAGCAAGAAGAAAATA